AGGAGGAGGAGGAGGAGGAGGTGTGGCCTTGCTGGAGGAAGTATGTCACTGTGGGTGAGATATGAGGTTTCCAAAGACTTGTTCTACTTCCTATTTTTGGATCAAGGTGAGGGCTCTCAGCTGTTTCTACTGCCAAGTCTTTGATCTGCCATCTTGAACCACAAGCTCAAGGAAATCATTTCTATCCTAAGTTGCCTTAGTGCTTTGTCACAGAAATAGAAAAGTGGCTAAGATGGTACACTTTTAAGTACGTGATAGATTTTGTTGCTATTGTGAAATGTATCTTAATGCAGTTTTTATAATTGTCATTATTAATTTAAAATTAAATATTAGCCTGTTATTAACTTTGATTCATTTATTTTTATATATAGTAGTAACCTGCAAAACTTTTATTGGATATGATTTTTAATTGTATTATTGCCACTACTGTAGTCCTTATAATGCCTCCTTTCCACTCTTACCCTCCTCCTCCTCCTCCTCCTCTTTCTCCTTGACATACTATATATTATGGCCCTAATGCAGTACCCAAGAACCTGGCAACTTTGGAGACAGGCCCTTCAAAAATAACACTGTTATCATATGAGATTCAACTAAATTATTAGAGGAAAGACCAAGTGGAAACAGAGTGAGAAGATGGTCAGAGAAAAGGGGAAAATCCTCCTGCTAATGCCCTGACTTTAAGTTTCTAGTTTGCAGAACTATGAAATGATAAATGCAGTTTCAGTCGCTAGGCTGTGGTACTTTATCAGGGCAGTCTAGAATTCTCAGCTAATGAGTTATGTCTCTTTGCTAGCTCTCTTGCTCTGATAGCATGTACCTTTATCTTACATTTAACTGTGAAGAGAATGTTTCTGAAGTTTCACAAGGAAGCATGCATTTGCCTTTTACTAGTTAAGGGAGTTAAAAGTAGCTAAGTTAAAAGCAGACACTCATCAGTATATTAGAAACCACTTTGAGACCCTCCCTGATGTTTCTACTGCCTGAATTTTATGTTAATTTTTCCCTTAATATTGCCAACTGTGAATGAATCCTTTAATAGTGTAGTCTCCTTTTCCCAGTTTTGAATTCTGTCTGAATGGAGTTATATTTTTTGAAAATGTATTAGGTCTATTACTCAAGTGCTTGTTTTTTAAAGCATGATAAGCAGTCTACGGACTTCTGAACCTCTTCTGTATGTAACTGAAGATTTCTCTAGGTATGAACACAGATGTGAAATGACCTAGTTATAAAGTATATTAAGTTGGACTTTGCTAGGTACATGTGAATGTACTGTTGTAAAATTTAACCTCAGGCATGGACCTGCTGGGTAAAGAGTCTATACAGCTTCAATTTAGCAGAAATGATAATTGTTTCTAAACAAGGAAGACTATTTACACTCACACATGACAATTAACCTCTATCTTCACTAGCACATGGAATTGCCAACTTTTATTTACTGATACTATGAAGACTAAAAAATACCACCATTATGGGATTTTAATTTGTAAAACACACACACATACATATAAACATATAATTATATATAATCAGATAATGTGCATGTGTGCCTACACGTGTGTATCACGTGTGTACATGCATATGTTGTATACCAAGAGCTTTAACTTACCTGTTTAGAAAGTGACTTCCACGTTTTAGCAACTAAAATAAATATAAAATAATTAGATAATATTGTATGTAATGTATATCCATATTTAGTAACCATATATAACCATAACTCAAAATCAAGCTTTTATGTTTAAAAGGCAGAAGTTTTTTACTCTCAATATTTGAATCTAAGATAGGATCTTTTCATGGTATCTATTTGTTTAAAATACTATAACTTATAATAAGTAAAATCAGTGTCACAGGATTGTTTTTTCCCCCATAACTGAGTTATGGTTGGGCCTTTCTGGATCCATGTTAAGTTAAGCTACTCAATGTTAAATATTTTATGGGACTTGAAGGACAAATAATGATACTTATAAAATATTCATGCTGGAATCAGATGAGTAAACATTTGTGGAAGTAATTCATCGGTGAAGGTCTGTCCAGGATAAAAATGATAGTGGCGCCGGGCGGTGGTGGCGCACGCCTTTAATCCCAGCACTCGGGAGGCAGAGGCAGGCGGATCTCTGTGAGTTCGAGGCCAGCCT